CCATGATCTTTGGTGCCGCCCGCTCCTCCTCGGTCTGGGTGGGCCGGCTCGGAATGCTGGCTTTGGAGTCTCACAGAACTCTACCACTTACCAGTTTTGGGGCACTGAGAAAATTACTTAACCTCTCTAAACTTACGGTTTTCTCATCTGTAAAGCAGGGATAAAAATGGTGCACAGTTGATAGGGTTGTTATAATAAATGAGATAGTGTGTGTAAAGGGCTTAGTGTAGAAACCCTACGTAACATGCACTTGGTACACATCAGTAAACATCTAATATTCTTTCATTCATTCATTTACACATGCGTTGGTTCCCCATTTAACATCAGACACTGGGGACCCAGGGATGAACACAGCCCGGTCCCTGCCCATAAGAAGCCTGTGTTGAGGGGTTGTGTGGGAGAGCAGACGAATAAACAGGTGATTACAGTGCTGTGTGGTTAAGTGCTGTGGCAAAGGCGTGCACACAGTGATGACAGGAGCACAGATGAAGGACGCACTGGTTGCCATGGTGATGATGATGCTCCGAGCATGGACTAAATGTTTAGGAGAGGTCCCCAGTCCCCAAGAGTCAGATCAGGACCAGCCTTGAAAGTCAAGTCAAGGCCGTCAGCCCTTAGCCTGAAGGCCATGGGGAGCTACTGAAAAATCTCAAGCAGTGAAGAGACCTGGGCCTATCTGCATTCAGGAAGGTCACTCTGGCCCCAGTGAGAGTGGTTAGGGAGCTGCAGATCTCCAGGTGAAAAATAGCGAGGGAACTGAGGGTCTACTCTAGCAGGCCAGTAAGAGGGTTGGACTAATGGGAGTTTTCGATCAGAGTTTAGGATATGGAGAATCTCTTAAGGAATATTTGATTTATTTCTTAAAACATGCAAAAAGTCTAAAGAATGGGACAGCCAATTTTATCATTCACATTTTATTTATTTAAAATGACAATCCAGTGAAGGCTAGCTAGAATCCTATTTCTCTGAATTGGCTTCTCCCACTAAAAGTTTTATTGTTTGAACATCTTGTATTACGTTTCAGAGAAACATGGTTTGATCCAAGATTATCTTTCTCTTCTATTGAGGCATGACATCAAATTTACCATGTCTCGAACTTTGTGAGCGTATTGAAGAAATAATGGAGTGACTATCTTGGCTGTCCATCTCACATAGTAGGTGCTCTATAAGTGTTGGGTTTCTCTGCTTTATTTATGTCTGAGTAGTGTCCAACAAAGTTGAAAGTATTTGTTAACGTTATTACTCACAGATTTCCCAATCAAATTCTAGGCTTTGTCAGTCACATCCTGTATTTAAGTGTGGGTCTTCAGAAATGAATGATATACGAACAATGCATTCACCTATACCAGTTTCTTTTCTTTTCTTTAGCTCTTATGTAATTCAGATGCTTGTTGAGCATCTTTACCGTCCTAGAGTAAGGAAGAATTTCAGAGAGGTTTCCAGAACACTATTCCATTGGTTTTCGACTCTTTACCTGATCCTTTTGCCCCTCATGACCACTTTCTTGGCTTTGAATGGATTGAACTCATCTGTCGCATCTGCTACAGCCACCTGGTTCTCCTGGTCTCCTCTAGCCTCCTGTGGGCCTAGTTTCGAATCAGAAGTTAGGTGATGCCTTCCTCAGGGTTTTCATTATATGCATTCAGTACCCTAGGTAGGAAAGTTAACTCTTTCGTGTTTTTGATCTGTGTCATTTATACTTCATAAATGGTGGAATACTTCATAATGAAGTTTTTGATACCCCATCAAGCCTATTTGGCCCCAAATAGCCTGCTTCTCTGGGGTATAAACAAAAAGCTATTTGTTCCGGGACATTTCCAAATTCCAAGAAGTCCCACAGCCCTACTTCTTTTGAGGCCATGCTCAGGTTCACCCTGTGAGTCCTTCCTCTATAGTGCTGTTAAAGTGACAAATACACACCAAGCTTCCAAACCCACATTGAAGAGTAGATCTGAGTTAAAGGGAAATGTGCTGTGGCAATTACTCTACAAGCATCTTGACGTAAAAACAAGTCAATAAATCAAAGACGTTAAGATCCTAGCTATGAAACAGGATACTCAGCATGTATTCTATTAGCTAAGAGGGACGTTAATTCAAAACTCATACTACAGCACTTCTATAGAGTATCTACAATTTAAAGAAAAAGAACTCTTGAGGCTGGTAGAAGGTGTGGTGGATGGGACTCTGGGACTCGGAGAAAGAAGAAGACAAATGTTAGTGGAAATGCAAGTCTGTCATTACATAAGCAGAGGCAGAGTCTCTCTGAGAGGGTGTGGATGGGGAAGAGGGACTTTCACATTTCCTGCACACCTACTCTGCTGGGAGCTATGGTAGGCACTTGGCAGACATCATCTTTTTAAATCTTCCTTTTGAAAAATAGATTTTATATTTTTTAGAGCAGTTTTAGGTATTGAGCAGAAGGTACAGAGTTTTGCCATAGACCTCCTGCCCCCTATACATGCTTAGCCCTATTATCAACATCCCTCACCACAGTGGTACATTTGTTGCAATCAACAAAACTTCATTGACACATCATTGTCACCCTAAGTCCATAGTTTCCATTTAGGTGTCCCTCTTGGTGTTGTACATTCTATGGGTTTGGATAAATGTATAAGGGCATGAATCCAGCATTATGGTATCATACAGAGTAGTTTCACTGCCCTAAAAACCCTCTGTGCTCTGCCAATTCATCCCTCCCTCCCTGCTCACCCCTGATATCTCCTGATCTTTTTACTATCTCCGCAGTTTTGTCTTTTCCAGCATGTCGTCTAGTTGGAGTCATCCAATATGTAGATTTTCAGATTGGCTTCTTTAACTTCGTAATATGCATTTAAGTTTCCTCCATGTCTTTTCATTTCTTGACAGCTCATTTCCTTTTAGTGCTGCATAATATTCCATTTCTGTATGTACCACAGTTTATATACTCATTAACCCACTGAAAAACATCTTGGTTCTTTCGAAGTTTTGGCAATTATGCATAAAGCTGCCATAAACATCTGTGTACAGGTTTTTGTGTGGATGTGTTTTCAAGTTCTTTGGGTAAATACAAAGAGAATGATTGCTGTATCGTAGAGTGAGAGTCTGTTTAGCTTTTTTTTTTTTCAGTTTTATTCAGGTATAATTGACAAAATTGTAAGATATCTAATGTGTACTGTATGTTTAGTTTTGTAAGAAACTGTCAAACTGTCTTCCAAGGTGTAGAATGGGTGGCTGTACCATTTTGCATTCCTACCATCAATGAATGAGAGTTCCTGTTGCTCCACACCCTCACCAGCATTTGGTCTTACCAGTGTTCTGGATTTTGGCCATTCTAATAGGTGTGTAAGAGTATCTCATTGTTTTAATTTGCATTTTCTTGATGACATATGATGTGGAGCATCTTTTAATATGCTTATTTTCCAGCTGTCTATATATCTTCTTTGATGAGGTGTCTGTTGAGGTCTTTTGCCTATTTTTCAATCAGGTGGATTTTTTTCTTATTGTTGAGTTTTAAGAGTTCTTTGTATATTTTGAATAGCAGTCCTTTATCAGATGTGTTTTTTGCAAATACTTTCTTCCAGTCTGTGGCTTCTCTTCTCATTCTCTTGACAGTGTCTTTCACAGAGCAGAAATTTTTAATTTTTTTAAAGGCCAGCTTATCAATTATTTCTTTTACGGTTCGTGTCTTTGCTGTTGTTTCTAAAAAATCATCATCAGGGGCCAGCCCCATGGTCTAGTGGTTAAGTTCAGTGCACTCTGCTTCAGCATCCTGGGTTCAGTTCCTGGGCGTGGACCTACACCACTCGTTGGCAGCCATGCTGTGGCGGCAACCCACATACAAAATAGAGGAAGATTGGCACAGATGTTAGCTCAGGGCAAATCTTCCTCAGCAAAAACAAAAAAACATCATCAAACCTAAGGTCATCTAGATTTGCTCCTATGTCACCCTTTAAATCTTCTTAACAATCTTTCCATCCTTGTTTTAGAGAGCTTAGAGAGTCAAGTGATTCTTTAATGCCACCAAGTTAGTAAGTGGTGGGACTGGATTCAAACACAGGTCTGTCCTTCCTCAAAACCCAGCCAGGAGGCTGTCTCCTCATTCCACAGCTACTGCCTGAAGAGCTAATTTGCATGGGAATCAGATTGGCTCTCTCCCAGGGCTGGATGAGGTCTTTTAACACCGAGATTCTAGGTCACAGATTGGAGCACACAGATGAACAGACACTCCCTTCACCTTATTTGACCCAAAGACCTGCTATTGAATTTTTTCCTAAGACCTGTTACTGATTTTTGTTTTCATGTGCCTGAAGGGTACGCCTCTCTTATCATTTTTATTCATCCTGAGAAAGGCAGCTCACTGGAGGTGATGGCCTCTAAAATTTTGGCTGAACTGGGTGATTAGGCTCCTCATTTTTCTTGGTGGGATTTGAGAGAATTTGGCGGAGATGGTGCATGAGCAGATGGAGAATTAGTGAAGTTTTACAATGTTGTTATGAACTTTATGATGTGAGTTGATTGTTTCATGTAGCCTCATAAAACAAGTTGGAGATGGCGGAGGGCAATTACATCACTCCCTCTGCACCTCCAACAGAGATGAAGCCTACTTTAGTGCTTGGGATATTTCCTGATGCTCCACTCAGGCCAGCCCAGTTTCCGGATTTTGATATGTTCCTGTATAGGTGTCGAGAAAAAAAGAGGAGGAAACAGAGAAACTCATCAGCCCAACTTGTTGCACTGCCATTCCTGGCAAAGATGAAGGACTAATGTCAGAGCAGAGCACCAAAACCTACAGAAACAGGCCTGTTTAGCCTGGGCAGTAAATAAATAAGCTAGTTACACGTTTCTTGGATGGCTGGCAAAAGTTTTGTTGTCATAGCAACTCCTCCATTGAGCTTGCTTTGCTTACACAAGTTGTCAGCCTCTGTCCCAACCCCAAGCTACGTAAGGAGGAGGAGCTGGGCCTTGGCCAATCCTTATTTATAACTAGCTCTGAGTTAGGGGGAGGGACAGGCAGGGTTGCCTCCAGCACAGTTTGCTTGCCTGAGTTACATCCACAAATGTCTCGGAAGCAGCAGGCTAACTGCATCCTTCTCCTCACATTCCTGGGTCTGTCTGGGCTGGTTGGCACAGTTACCAGAACATACCACATTGGGATTGTGGAAGAATACTGGAACTATGTACCCCAAGGAAAGAACGTTATTACCGGGAAGAGTTTCACAGAAGACAAGTGAGTGAACTTGGGGTCCCCATAAACTCTCAGGTTTGGCTTCCTTTTGACTCTGCTTGGGGAAGGTTGTATTCCTTCGGTGGTTACAATAGAGTTGAGTTGATCTAAATCAACAGGAGGGGTTTTGTGTTTGCTTGGAGAGCTGTAGCATGGGTGGGTGTGTAATTTGGAAGAGACAGTCTTAGTTCCATCTATTCACCATCTATTCATCTAGCCTTGTCTGTGAAGAGACACATCACAACTAGGTGTTTTGACTAATGGCTTACTCTACGCATGGACAATTTTCACTAGGCACCACTAGGAACTTCCAGGGGGTTCTGGATTCTGTTTAAAAAAAAAAGGCAACCCTTGGGATGAAATTTTGAGAATTTTCAAGAACTCTTCACTGTTAAAACACACAGTGTTTTTTTAGTTTTTATTTTTGGAATGAAACATCATAATTGGAGATAAGAATGCTATAGGTAGTTATGTTTTATTTTTGTTTTTCAATATTTAAAAGAAGGGACAGTTACAAAAGATTTGGCTTATATTTTAAGAGTTTCCTTGAGTCCACTTGGAAATGGCTCTTTTACTGGTGAGAGGTTTGTTCCAGCTCCGATTTATTCAATCTGAGGGCAATATCCTAGCCCCAGAGGCCGTGGCATAGCTGGATGAGGTGGTGCCAGAGTGTTCTATGTCCCTGATTTTTTATTTTTGCAGAAAATAGCCCTTGTTCCCCCTCTCCTCCTCAGGATCCGGCGTCTTGTGTATCTTATTTGTTCCCTGGAGCTCCCTCTGAAGGCACCTCCTGGCTCCAGAAGCTGTCATGCATATTTTCAACTTTGTGGTTCTTAGAACATCTTTTGAGGTATTCTGGCAACCATTGTTGGATATTTGGACACTGGTTTCTTCTCTGATAGGTAGAGGCCATTGCATTCAACATCCAAGTTCTGTTTTCTAAAGATGAGGTTAATTGCTAAGATTCATGGGGTCTGCCAACAAGTCTCTAAGGGCCAGGTCCCCCTGCCCTGCGGAAAGACCAAGATCCAGTTGGCTTGGACACACAGCTTCCAGGTTTCTTAACAACACAAAGATGGCATAGTTATGTTTTGTTTATTAAAGAAAGATAATGCTCATGCCAGCCAGACTGCCAAGAAAGACTTTTCTTTAGGCTTTGTACCAGGAAATTTATTGTCCAAGGGGCTATTTCCAAAGAAAGCTCTTGATGTCTTCCAATCCCCTGTCTGCTGACCATCGGTGGTGGTAGTCTTTACTATGACAAACAGATATGGGATTGAAAGGCTACACTAACTCCCAGTAGCCTTCCCTAACAATAGAGCTCTGCTGTCCTCAAAAAGGCTCAATAGAAAATGGTTGTTGTGAGCAGCTATTGGAGGGGAGACTCTTCAAGTTGTGTCCATTTAGTGTAGTGAGTATGATCTTTAAGCTCAATGTGATATTGGTCTGCCTTTCCACACAGTTAAGTAAAAAGCACAGAATTCTCTTTCTCCTAAAATGCCTATATCAGTACGCTGTTTGTGAGCATTTGTTCTGACCAGGAATTCCACTGACAACTTTTCATTCATTCTTGCTTGCAGATGTTGTTATTTCCACTTTACAAGCCGGGAACTGAGGGTCTGAGGTTAAGTGCTTGACAGAGCCAAGGCAGCACCAAACTCACATTGCTTTGGCTCCAGAGCCCATATTTTCCACCACACAACCTGTTTCTCAGCAATGGTGATACTTTGCCACTGAATTAAACTCAGCTTTGAGGGAAGCCAGGAATTCCAGTAATAAGAATTTCTAGAAAGACCCAATTCTTACCAAAGGTAGGTTTAGTCTCACTTGCCCTTCTTCCCAGAGAGACACTGAAAATGATCATTGTTGTCAGTGACCAAACTGGTTACCTGGGTTCATTCAAAAACTCAAAGTACTTTGAATATGCCAATACGAGAATGCTATTTCCACACAGCTGAGTGCAGGAAGAAATTAGGGGCTCTCTGTTGATCATTTCAGCCAGAAGATGTTGCTTTGAAGAAAGTACAATAAGATGTATGAAAATAGTTATGTTGGAGAAAAAAGGGAAAAATAAAACAGGGAAAGAAAATAGGCATGACTAACACAGTTTGTTTGGTGTCAGATTGGAGTGAGGTGGTTTAGCAAATGCCGTGGTTTCCGTGTGAGAGGACTCCTGCCTCTTAGGAGAAGCTGGCAAACTAGATGTTATACCTGGAAGGCCAAGGTCTCCAAAAAGGACAGCGTTTATGCAGGGCTGACTCCTGACTCTTAAAAGGGGAGCCAGGGTGAGTATGCAATGCATGTTGCCTTTTATCAGCAACCATGTCAGGAGGTGCTCCTAGGGTGGCAGGGGGCTCAGGGCAAGTCCCTAAGAAGGCATAGTTGTGGTAGTCTCCTGACTCTTGCCTGAAGACCACAGGACACGTGTCTCAGGTGCCATGATTCACAGGTGTCACAGGTGCCACAGGCATCCGTGTGAAGATGCCGCGACTGTGGGACATAGATGGAGTTCAGTATGTGTATTCTGCATTGTTTCATTTCCCCAGGGGCAAGGAGTCATTTTGGATGATGTGAACATGCCTCTCACTCGGCCTCCTGCAGGATGAGTAGACTGTGTTTCTGGGGACAGTGTGCTGTTTAGGATATTCAGACCCACACAAATGCCTGACATTTAGAGATCCAAGAGAGCCACATCCCTAGTATTCCACCATGAGTGGAGAGAGCCTGAAATAGGAATTAGGAGACTTGATTTCTAGTCCTTGCTCTGCCCCCAATTTGCTGTATAAACTTTAATATGTCATACAATCTCTCGAAACATCCATTTCCTTAATTTGTATAACCAGAGAGTTGAAATATAATCCCTAAAGCCATTTGAGAAGTGTAATTCCAAGGCAGCAGAAATGATTTTTGAAATCGAATGAAAAACATCTTACCTGACTTGCCAGTTCTAGAAAGATGTTTGCAATGGTGAATGAAAGGAGAGAGGTGATTTGCAAATGTTCAGTCTAGGAATCAGAGTTGGAGAGTAGGGATATGTGACAATTTTTGAAGTATTCTATGTTTTTATTTACCCACCCATTTTCCCCCATTCTTTAAGAACTATCTCTAAGTCTTCACATCACGCACCAAGCTTGTTAACACAACCCTGGTTTATTCTGATCTGTTTCCTTCCTGACCGCTCACGGAGCGTGGTGTCTTTATTTGGCCCCAGACACATCATTTTCTTCTCCCTGTGTTGCTCTCTGGTTGTTTGATGGACACAGTCACCTCTGCAGCTGGAGGATAAGTGCCGTGATGGTAGAGAGGAAGGCCTGGCACATATTTAATAATCTTCCTTCCCTACACAGAGCTTTGTCAGTGACAATAGCCCATGGAGGATTGAGCACAAGGCCAGGCATCTGGAATGATTAAACAAAAACTAATCACTTTGTCAAGTTCATTGTTCTGGTTGCTTTATCTTTGAATAAGGGGAAGGGGCAAAAATTAGAGCAATGGGAAGGTGAGTGCCAAAGTTTCAGCTAGGTAGAAAAGCTTGGAAACCAAAATAGGCAGTGCCAAGAGCCTAATAAATCCTGATTCACAAGGATGAGATAGGAAATAAATTGAAATCCTTTCACTAAGACACTATAGCAGTGAGACGGTGCAATTTAACTTCCCGACTTGGTACCTTTGGTTGATCATAGGGTTCCAACCTATTAATTGAGACTATAAGCATTAATATTTCCTAGAAAATATGGAATTTAGGAGTTATATTCTATTTAGAAATATTTTCTCCTGATGAAAAATTCCTCCTCTTCCCCATTGGGCTTAATGGGGACACGGGACTCCTTTGATTTGCCTGGAGATGGTGTCAGCATTCGATTCCTTCATGTCAGTCCTGCTTGGGCTCATAAAGCATTTAATTAAGGTGTGACTGTGCTTCTGTGGTAAAGCTTAGACTTTAATGGAACCAGAGTGGGGTCACCTTATTTAAAGCCACAATTCTCACCAAAGACCTCATTACACAACCAACACACATGCAGGTTTTTTCTTCCCGGTGAAATGCAGAGGTTGTCGTGGGTGCTAACTCACAGGTAGAACCGCAACTGAACATGAGTCAGGCTGACCATTACTCAATCTCCAAGTTTGTAGGGTCTGTTAAGGAAGTTTACCTAATTACATCACTGGGTCAGCCCAGTTGATGGCAACGGGTTCTGAGCACCCCCTAGGAGCAGACCCTAGGACGGGCATGAGGGACAGACCTATAAGTCTATGTGAGCCAACTGAAGGGAAGCAGGTGGGGGAAGAGAAGGGCTTTTGTAAGCTTTGAAATAAAAGGAAAGATATCACCTCATTAGGGCTTTGTCTTAAACGGATGGTAACTTTCAAATCTCAGCTTCTATCTTATCAGCAGGGAAAAATCATGAGTTGGGCCCAATACCATGTGAATCTTTTGGGGTTACTATTATTCCCTATGTGAGTTAATGATTGCTTTTTGCTGCCAGTAGATTCTTTATTATAAGAATAAAGTGGCTTAAATGAATTAACGTTTTGTATTCTCTTGTAAAAGAAATCTAGAGGTGGGCAGTCCAAGGCTGGTGGGACAGCTGGTATGATAGGATTTCGGGGGCCTTCTCTATTTCTGATCCAATATCCTTAGCATGTGACTTCACTCTTCAAGGAAGTTCATGGTCACATGATGGCTGCTGGAACTCTAGGTCTCATGTCTATGTTCCAGGAAGGAAGAGAGGAAGGGAAAAGTTAGAAAGGGCACAATTCCTGCTATATCAGCCCTTTAAAGGGCTCTCATGGAAACCCCACCCAACCAATCCTACTTACATCTCACTGGATACTCAAAGCCACAAAGGGGGCTTGGAAATATAGTCTTTTAGTGATATGCTTTTCGGCCTGAAAAAACAGAATATTGATTCTGTTAATAAAAAGATGGGGAGCATGAATATTGCAAGGCAGCTGGCAGTCCCTGCCACCTTCTCCTCAGTGCTCCCTGTTTCCCACCCTTCACA